TATAGATAGAAATTGTATTGAAAACAGTGGCGAACTCTACATCTTCCTAAATCTATACATAGAGATTGTATTGAAAACACGAGCGAACTCTGATATCTTGCTAAATTCGATGCGATCTCAAGTTGAAAGTTGAAAATTTTCAAATAGAAGTATTCATCAACAAAAACTTGAAAATTAAATTAATTTAAATTTTATTGTTTACTGAATTTTAAAACCTTCATAGAATTTTAAAATTTTATTTGACTTATGATCGCAAATGAGAAGTAGCCCTTTATCAAAACTAGAAAAAAAAGTCATACCTGTATTACAAATGATACTATCGGGGAAAAAAATACTGAATTTTTCTAAAAATATCTCCCCTTGATCATATATATTTCGATGAGTAAAAATGTATTGAACGTCATCAATATTATGTACGACAATGTAACGAGTAAAACCCATCCAAAATTGATAAATATCACCGAAACGTTTCTTGAATGATATGTAGACTTCAGACAATGGTTTTTTACCAAACAATAAACCTGATTGAAACATATTCCCAACAAAGAAATGTGGCGACAAACCTGGTACTGGACCACGAAGTGTAAAATATTGAAGTTTTACGTATATCACCCATAAGACGACGAAAAAAATAAATAGGATAACAATCATTATTCAACTGTCTACAATAAAAAAGACGTAATGGGAGTATATAGTGGTGAATGCATTGTATGTGTGTACGTGGTGGCTTTCTTTCTTTCTTTCGTTCGTTTTTTTTGTCTTTAGCACTCGTACGACAGGTAGAATGAACACTATCATGCACAAATCATAAAGTAACATGAATGTGAATATGATGTTTGTGTTCTACATCCATTTCATATCTGGCATCCAAATCATGTTACTAGTCGAAAAAATATAACCTATCAAAAACATGCCAAAATATTCAATCATAATTTTATGAATCCTTTTAAAAAAGATGACTTTCTATTAATGATGATTTACTTTTCGCTTAGCATACAGCTGATAAAATACATCTGATGATAAAACTTTTTCAGTTCGATCACTGGTGCAACCCGTATTACAACAAAGAAAATTTTCATAAATAAGTTGAAACGTAGAATTTAAAGACTTATATTTAATTGAGCAATAAAAAATACAGAATGAGCAATAATCAAATTTAGCGATAAATATATAGAATGAGCAATATATGAGCTAATTGCAAGTTTATTGTACCGTTTGATTAAAAAAAATCGACAAAAAATTTTTTTAATTTTGAACGCAATTTTTTGTGCATTCTATAATAGTATATGAGAAGAGGATAGGATTAAATTTTCCCAACTACCACTATCAAAATAGCCGAGATACGAGAGATTTTCTAAAAACATAAAAGTCGCAAAATATAAGTTTTTGTCATATGTATTGAAAATCCGTTTTTTTTGGATTTGATGTTGGTACTTGTGATTATATGATGAAAGGGTTTTATATGCATAACGGCGCATACTAGTGTGATATTTACTTCGAGAATTGTCGGGAATACAAATTTCATAGGGCGCGCTAAGAACATAATTGTGATATGATCTCCGTTAAACATGAATTTAAACTTTCTAGTACTAATATTTTTGTTTCGACACCAGTTGTTTTCTAGTTTTATTAGTTACAATGACAAAAATAAATAAAAAACACAGTACACTATAAAAAACTGAAAGATCAATAAGTAGCTTTGTCAATACTAATCTATATTTTTAATGTACATCACTTAAAAGAATTAAATAAAACAAAATAATGTATAGTCTAATAAATCAATATCTAGTTAAAAATCTACTTTCAGCAATCGTTCGGTACCAAAAGAAGTATTTTTTGCATAAAATTGACCATCTGGTTTGACCGTGACTTCGTGAAATGATGCTGTCCCTTTGACAGCTGTCAGCGATGGTATTCGTTTCTTAAATGAATCAATTTCATTTTTTGTATAAGTAAAAAGTTTTATAGTCGTATTTTTCTTAATATCATCAATCAGATCAAGTGCGTTTGTATAAGATTCATCTGGATGAAATGCCACAGCTTGATCCATCGACCTCTTAATAGTAGCACCGATAGCATCAGCTATATTTTTCCCATGGCCACTTTCCAAGAAAATCCATTTCACCGTAATTTTATTATTTGTAGCATATTGTTTCATGAGATAGAAACTGGTTTTGTTTCGATACTGAGAAACAGGAGAGTCAGATATAAAATTTAACTTAGTAATTTTCGATGAATTATTCTGTAAACTGTTCAAAATCGGTTGTAATGCTGTCCATGTTGCTTCCGACATATGGTTAGTATCATCAGATGCACAACCGAAACTGTAGTTATTATTTTTCATCCACACATAGCCACTTAATATCGATATTTGCTGTTCGTAGTAATAAGAAGCTAAAAAAACATGCGTTAGTTGTTAATGATAATAGCTAATAGGAATGGCAAAATCTACACGACGATTAGCAGAGGGAAATTTTATTCCAAGCATTGTACTATATAAGTCTTTAAGTAAACACCGACTATCCAGTTATTTACCTTTATCTTGACGTGCTTGTTTCAACTTGAAATTCTCTGACCAGTCCAAATGAATAGTAGCAACATCGTCTTCTTCCATCGCCATTTGTCTCGCATTCTTTGCTGCTCGAAATTGTTGACGCATTCGATCAATATGATGTGTTAAATTCTATAAACATAAAAAAATCATCAGTGCCTTCATAGTATAAAAACGCTACAAAATATACTCGTTCTCAAGAGTTTTACCCATACAATGCAAAATGCTTGTAGTTATGTGCAATTTCAAATTTCACTCTATTGTTTCCCTTCTTTCAAATACGACTCTACATACATACCTCGATTTCATTAGTAAATTTGTTTACAAAATCAGCAATAAACGAAGTGATCGTTGTTTTTGTTGAGACTAAAATATTAGATTCGTCGTTTTTCTTCTTTATCCATTCACTATATGTTATAGTGAATTGTTCATCTTTGAGTATTGCTAAATTACTTTTGAAATCTTTTGTTTTAATTTCATCTGTTACCAGCTCTGTTATATCTGTTAAACCATCGATAAGTACTGATTTTATAATTGAATATCGAGATTTCAAATTTTGTAATTTTTCAAATTTCATTTGAGGATTAAGACAGGTGACACATAAGCAGGTACCCCAGTCATTAGCGTTTGGCTTTATCACAAAATCTGGAACATATCGTGTGAATGTAGAATAATGACAACTGTTACCAGTTTCGGTTACAAATCGTTGATGAACAGTTGATAAATGGTGTAATAGATATCTAATCTGTTTTCCATGTAATTGTTTTTTCTTATCAGGTGCTTGCTTACTAATATCATCTTGACATAAAAAGTCTTCTATCTCTTTTTGGAGTATTGATGGTGTACTAGATGGTGGATCATAGTTATTGGATAAATTTACACCTAGTTTTCTTAATTTTGAAACAGAACCACGAGGTAGATTTTCCTTTTCCGAAAGTAATCGTTTAGTTGCACGTTTCTTAGATGATGGACTAATATTATTAATGAATAAATGTGTTGGTGACGTAGCTGTTGTTGTATTAACATCGTTCACTTCAGCTGAACGTTGTTGAGATAGTAATCTTTTTATCGCTCGATTCTCTTTCTGTAATTGTTGAACTTGTTTCAGCAATTTTTCAGCTTCATTTTTCGATTTTCTGGCATTGGCTCGACGACGTTTAGCTCCTTCGACCTTTCGAGAATCAATTTTGGTTGATGAAGATATAGGAACTATTGCTACATTCTTCTGAGCTTCTTTTTTCCGTTGCCGACACTTTCTTTGTCTTGCGTTTTGTTTGGCTTTAAAGTGAAGGTCAAACGATTTTGATATTGCTCGTCGATGTTGAAGTTTTTGGCGATATTTCAAGTTGTAAAGTTGAATCTGTCGACGAGAAACCATAGTTCATCTAGAAGAGAGAACAACATAATGTAATCTATTCTAAATTATATGTGGATCTATGTATTTATAGTCTAAAGATTGAAAATAAGCTGATAATTAATGGATATGCATACACAAAACCGTTTTCCTGTGGCTTTCCCCATCTGTCAAATTCAAAGTAGAGTCAATTCATATGTCCCCTGATAGCTCTTTACATATGGTACTAAGTCATATAAAAAGTAATCGTTCCAATCTTATGTGTGAAGAAATTGGATGCATGAAGATCTCGCGTGACAGATTTCTGAAAAAATCTCGCGTGACATATTTACGATTTTTTTTCTCTTTCACATGATAGGAAGGTCTTCTGATTCTGATATTTTAACCAATAGTTACCCACAATGATTAGTCAAAATGGTCAAGATTCGGTTATGTTCTGTCACAGTGTAAGAGAACTATACTTCAAACAAATTGAAAAATCTCGTGTGACATTTTGTATGTCGCTCGATTTTTTAAATTTTATTTTATATTTTTTATTAACAAGAAGTAGAACAATTCTTTGATAATCTCTAGTAGTTTCATATAGTATGAACTGCCTTTCGTTTGACACCAGCCCGATTAGTTTCAAACGGATCATTGAATAGCAAAATGAATTTTCATCTCGCGTGACCGAAAATAAAGAGTTGTATGTACACATGATATTTCGATAAAATTATAAGAAAAACTACATTGAAAGAACCATTAGATTTCATATTCAAGAAGTATAGATTGTACATTATAAATGTCATCATCTGTCAAAATTCAATTGACAAGTAACCAATTGACCATACAACTTTTTCTCCGAAAGATGGCAGCAGAAATCCGACTTTTAAACTTTGTGCAGTCAATATCTCAGGACTTATTCGAGATAATCTAGTGATTTTTTTTGTGGTGATGGTGGTTGCTTAGTAAAACATATGATAAAAAAATCATGAGGATTGGTTAAGTAGAGCTCGATATATTGAAATTTTATGCTCAAAAATACAACGGTACATTAAACTTGCAATTAGCTCATATATATAGAATGAGCAATATATATATTGAATAAGCAATATATATATTGAATGAGCAATA